TTACTCATGATTTAAATTTGAGAATTATCTCTTTTCAAAAATTAAGTGCATCTGGCAGTAATATTATGATTCATTCTAAGAGACTGTTTTGCATAGAGTGGTGACTTACATGAAAAGGTGATTAACATGTTAGGGCTACTTAAATGTATACAATTCTAAATTATCTGGGGAAGAAAAACTTCATATATATTAATTCAACTATTTAAAGAATAAGTTATCTGCAAATTTCTGTTAGTCTTAGAAATTTTAGTTCAATTGTACACACAAAGTTTTGCCTTACTCTGAAGAATAAAGCTCAAACTGCAATTAGCAGTTTGAAAAACTAATATTGTATATTAAACAAACGTTTATATGGGCCTACTAGGTACAAGACACTTGTTAGACACTTTAGCTAGATACTATGGTGAGTTTAAAAAAAAAGATCACCTAGTAAGACTAACAAGGTTCATTAAATGGAATCTTGCAAAAGCCATTAACAGACTCTCAACTGAAAACATAATTGAAATGAATAAGCTGTAATGAAATTTCAAATACATACTACATCTAGGAGGTGTTATGTATGGGCTTGCATCCATAAAGACATGATACTGATAAAGTAAATAACAAAATTAGTTTCCAAAATACTTCCGTATTTTAATGAAACTAGCATAAATATATATGCTTTATGATAAACCACAGAAAAAGTACCAAATGAACAAAATTTCACTCACATTTTGTAAAATTTTATGTAAAGGAGAATATATCTGATAGTCTGTAAAGATCACAAAAAACTGCCCTTTTGAGTTTTCTAACTAGTTTATTTAAAAATAAGGTTATAGTTTCCAATGACACTCAGCAATCCATGAATTTGAATGTTTTCGTTTGTTTAAAAAACTTAGTATCAGATCTAACATGTTGTAGAAGTCAAGAGTCTGAGCTAAGAAAAGTGTATAAAGTTTTATTTATTACAGAAATACATCTCATTACTATCGAAATATACCTTATAGTTGCTATACCTTATTATACAAATATACTTCAACAATGGGTTTAATAGACTAAATATAATATGTACAAACAGAAGGCAAATAAAACTTCAAACAATGCTAACCCATGAACCAAAATGTGCCTTTAAATATTTCTTTCACATTATCTACTTATGCAAATGATTATGGAAAAGCAAACTGAAAAACTTGGTGCCTAAGTTAGGGACTAAAGAAAATTATAAGAAGATATATTACCCATGGAATGAAAATACATTTTCCCATTATAGTAGGGTTAGAGGTTACATCATAAAATACTTGGAGTTTTTTGTGGTTTGCCTCAGATGATTAGTTTAGAGAAATAGATGAGCCAGTACTGTGTTGGTAGTTATATGAAGAGGAATATCAGAGAGAATAGGCTTTTGTTTTATTCTACAGGTACTAGATAAGATTTGGATATTTTGGGAATATGGACTTAGATTTAAATGGTAACATTACTTTAAGATTGATATTTTCCTTTTCTATGCAGTTGTTGTATATATGCCATGGTAATTTATTATTTTTTATGTCACTATGTATTTTTAAAAATTTACTTGAACTTAGACAATTCTGGGCAATTTAATTATAAGTTTTATTCATTCTGAGATATAAGAATTAGCACATCCAGCCACATGTCATATATTTATTATATTACAACCTATATATCTCATAGAAGACAAATACAATATTCTTGCTGCTATATTCCTATATCCAGAACAGTCCTGGGCACACAGCACATGTTCAATAAATATTTACTGAATGAATAAATAATTCACTGTATATTTGAACTGTTTTACTGTCTGCTGTCCTTTCTTTACACTTAATATTTTATTGAAACATACTAAACGTTATACTTCATATATATAACGTAAGAAAATGTTCAATACCTGGCACATAAGTTAAAATGAAAAGGATGTATTTACATCCATTACATCTTATTATTTTCATAGCTCAACATATAGCATGTTAAAAATCAGTTTTGAGTTAATATTTTGTCAACATTTATGCTCTTGTAGGTCTTTAATAAAATTTCTGCTTGAGATACTATTATTTATTTACAGGTCTGCTACAAAATAGTGTATATTTGTCCTATTTTTAATTTCAGAACCTGTTATAAATGACAATTTTGGTTTTTTTTTGTTTTGTTTTGGAAAGAGCAAGTATTTACTTACATTTATTAGATGTTACAGAATAAGGTGAGGTACCAGCCTTCTTTATATACAAATTAATTCCATCATAAGAACTAAACTCAAATGCATAAAAATAAAATGAATATATTTTAAATAATTTAGTGCATTAAGACTTGACTTCAGCATGTATGAAAGGAAGTTTTACATTGATTTAAACTCAAAATTACATTAGGAATCTGAGCAGAAATTGAATATTGAATTGGTGTCCTTTGTGTAAAGATAAAATACATTGTACACTTAAGATATACAAAACAGTATGCTCTTGTTTGAAGGTCATTTTAACTTTATATATTTCAAAGACATTCTAAGATCATAATTATTTTAAGCTCAGAAATTTATTAATTATTGCCAGATCCCCTAAAATCTTTATTTTATAGTATGTAATCCTGTAATAGCCCTTTCTAAATGAATTAATACAGTCAAAAGAGGATTCTTATATTTATGTGTCTTTTTCTACATCCCCGGCTTTGTGTATCTTTTTAGTGTACATTTTCTCCTTATAAGCTTTGGTAGATTTCCATTACTGTAGGTATATTATTTAGCTTTTAAAATATTTGAATATACTTGCTAATGTATGCTTACATTGTACTATAGTATCATTCTTAAATAGATTCCTAGCAATTAATTTGCAATAGAAAAAATAGCCATGTTACCATTATGTTTTTCTTTATGGGAACATTGGGAATGCTTTTAAAGCTTAAAGCATTATATTATTTTGCTGGTGACTGACTAGAACTTGGATTCCTCCACCCTTTAGCATTGTACAAGTGCATTTTCCAGATCATCACATTACATTGCTAATTCCTGATAAACTAGGTAGTACCTGCAAGTTTTTAACCAAAAGCCATGAATTCAATTTCTAACCATGCTTGTCATTTAAGCAATCTATCCATGATTCCCGTTTCATGCTAAACTTTTATGATTCGACACTTTTTGTTTAAAATCAATATTGGGTTTACATGGATCCATAAGGAATAGGGCGACAGTGGAACATTTTACAACTTAAAAACTGCTCAGTATCCAGCTAATTAACCTACTCCGATGGGCCTAATCCATTTTCTATTTGCATCTGAGGAGGGAGCCCCCATCTTTCTGCCACTTAAATGACCTCCCATTTCCAAGAGTAAATCCGGAAAGAGTCAGATCAGAGGAATCCTCAATCAAAAGCAGACTCCACTGTCTTAAGGGTGTTAATTATCCTTCAGTGACAGACTAGGAGATCTTGGGTTCCTTCACTTATATTGTCCTATAACTGCATTTACCAGATTATAGTGCTGATTCCTGATAACCATTTGTACTCAGTTCTACCCAGCAAGCTGAGGGTAATCTTGGGGTTCCCTCTCGCAGTGTAACCCTAACACAAGCTTTTGACCTTCTGTGATGCACTTTGATTGTCAATGGGGCCAACGTGGGGCGTGAATGGGCAGTGGATGTGGTAAACCTTCCACTGGATGAACTTTGGGAAGAATCCAGGATGAGGATTTAATGGGTGAAGAGGCTGCACTAGTACTGTGAAGTTAACGCGGCCAACTGCAGGAAGCCATGCTTCATTACAACCTTCATGAAAGCTGGCATTCTCTCCCAACCATTGTCACCCGCCGGCCAGTTCTTGAGGAAAAGGCCAGCAGGTAGGTTCCCAGAGCGGGGAGATGTCCTGGAGAGAGCCCTGCAGCTACTCTGGGCAGAACCCCGCGGCCTGGCCCTCCGCACCCGCCTCCCCTCACCTCCGCCCTGCTCCCAGTCCCTCCCCTCCCTCTCGGGTCCCTTCCCGACGCGCACGCGCAGCCCGCGCGCCCGGCGCTGCAGAAGGCGACCGAACGTCCCCCCCCCCCCGCAGCGTGCGCGCGCCCTCGCTCCCTCCGTCCACTCCTCCGGGCCTCCGCGCGCCGCCGGCTCTGCTCACCCCCTACGCCGGCACACCTCGGCGGCGGCGAGCGGCGAGGGGGAGGGGAAGGCCCGGGATGTAGGCTGGGGCCCGTGGCGGCGGCGGCGGCGGCGGCGCGCACGCAGGCCTCGCCTTTCCTGGCCGCCTCACTCACGCCGGGAGCGGGGCGGGCGCGCACGCCGAGTGACGCTGGGAGGAGGAAGCGCAGCCCCTTTCCCTGCCCGGCTGCCCCAGGCCCAGCGGGAGCCCCCCCAGTGCGCCTGTGCGGAGGCCTACTTGATTATGTGTGCCCTCTTCGGGCGCCTGCGTTAGCGGCCGGGTGGAGGTGGGGAGGGAAGACGCCGAGGAGGAGGAGGAGGAGGCGGAGGCGGAGGCGGAGGCGGCGGTGGAGGGGAGGTGGGGGGAGTCAGCAAGGACATGGCCCCTGACTCCTGTGCGGAACGTGAGTGACTGAGCGGCAAAGCCCGAGTGAGCGGGCGGGCGGGCGGCCGGGGGGCCGGGGGGCCGGAGACCGGGAAGTCGGGAGGGAGCGGGCTCGGGGTGGGGAGGGTGGGGAAGCACTCATTGGCTTGCTTGTGTTTTTTAATGGTCCCCCAACTCCCTCTTAGATGGTCTCTAGCGACCGGCCCGTGTCACTGGAGGACGAGGTCTCCATAGTTATGAAAGGAAGATTGGATTGGAGGCTGTTTGCGTTTGCTCAGGGGGGGGGGGGACGACGGGGCGGGGAGGGCGGGTGGGGAGGGGATGGGGGGAGGGGGGGGGGGGCGTGGGGAGGGCGGGGGGGGCGGGGAGGAGGGAGGAGAGGGGAGGAGGGGGAGGGACGGGGGGGGGGGAGAGGACGCGGGGAGGGGAGGAGGGAGGGGGGACGGGGGTTGAGGGGGACGGGGACGGAGGGGGGGGGGGGGGGAGGGGGGGAGGGGGGACGAGAGAGGCTGGGCCGAGAACCCGCTGGTTTATTGCGACGGGCACGGCTGCAGCGTCGCGGTGCATCAAGGTAAACACCCAACCGCCCGCCGGGCCGAACCGGCCCGCTCCCAACCGTCACGGCTTCCCCCACCTTAGTAGCCACTGCCGGGCTGCCTGCCCCTCCCCCGCCGCGCCCCGCCCCGCCCCGCCCCGCCCCGCGGCCGCGGGAGCTTGGGAGAACCGCGCGGGGGGTGCGGGCCGTGCATGTGGGAGAAAGTGCGTGTGGCCTGTCATGTGATTGCGCGATCACTCTCAAGTGTCATTTGGCCGCTGCCTGCGCCGGGGTCTGCAGATTTTGCGGGGCAGCGGCCTGCGCCCGTGGGGTGGGGAGGGGTAGAGCGGGTGCGTGGGAGAGGGCGTGTGCTGGGCCCTGGGGTCCCGGAGCCCCAGACCCCGCCCTCTCCTGCCTGCTCCTGTCTGCCGCAGTGTCTGCAGACTTCCTGTGGCGTGGAGCCGGAGCTGGGCTGCTGGGGGAGGCACGGGTGGCCCTGCCTGTTGAGCTCGGGGAGGGGGAGGTGGTCACTGCTGTACCCCGAGCTTTCTGGCAGACATCCCGCTGCTGCCGGTGACTGGGGCTTGGTGCACGGTGAGAAGCCGCCCAAAGCCAGTGTGGCTCTGTGGGGAGTGTCTGGGCCCAGCTGCCTTGGGCTGCCTCAGGTCCCCCTGTTCTGTTTGGGAGGCAAGACTAGAGGAGGTGGTGGTCTCACTCAGAGGCTTGGCGAGCTTTTTAGTTTTATTTCTGGATGTTTTTATTCGGTTAGTATTTTTGGATATGCAAAAGAAATGCCAACGACTCCAATAAGATATTTTCCTGGTCATCAAAGTTTCTGGCTCTTTTCCTTTTTAGTGGTAAGAAAATTGAGATTTTTTTTGCTGGCTGGCTGTTTACTCACCATCCCATTCTCCTTTCCCATTTCTGAAGCTTCAGGGAATGTTGTAGATGACGTTCAGCAGTGCTTGGAGGGGGCACTACCAAGGGAGCAGAAGGGGCTGAAGCTTGGTCTTTAAAGAACGGAATGTCACACCGGGAAAGGACACCTAGATACAGTGGTGGTGATTCTGAAATGGTGAATGAACCTGAGATGGCAGGCCTTTTCATTTCCTTTTAAAGAAGAGCAAAGTTCAGGAGTGAAAATGTGTGTCAAAACTAGATACTGATGTTAAGGTTTTAGGATTGGCGCATATATATGTATATATACATATGTATATGTAATTATTATTTTTTGTCACATTGGGACTTGAACTCAGGGTCTTCACCTTGAGCCATTCCACCAGCTCTTTTTGTGATTTTTTTTTCAAGATAGGGTCTGGCAAACTGTTTCCCTGGGCTGGCATTGAACAGCAGTCCTCCTAATCTCTGCCTCTGAGTAGCTAGCATTACAGGCGTGAGTCACCGGTGCCCGTCAATATGTTTTTATTACAGTGCTCATTGGTATTTGTGGCAGAATTGCTTATGAATTGAATGATAAATCATTATATTTTGTTAACTAATCTGTCAATATAGACAATTTTCATGTAACTCTTAAGTTTTCTTTTCCAGAAGTAATTCCAAATAAAAGCATGTGTTTGGACATTGATGCTCTTTCTTGGCTGATAAAACAGTTTTACCTTGACTTATTTACACATGCTGAAAAGGAGTAGAAATTTAGCTTTTGAAAAGTTCTTCTGATTTTATGTTGTTTTCTTCCCAATATTTAAGATGTTTTCAAGCTTTTGCTGAGTAAACTCATGTGAGAATGTAAAATGAATGTTTTTAGATTTTCAGAAAATTTTTAATTTTGAGCTAATTATTACTAATGTCAAAAGCTCACCTCTTTTTTTTTTCCGATGCTGTTTATCAAACATAAGATTTTTTGCATACTAGGCAAGCACTCTACCACCAAGCTACATCCTCAGTCCTCCCCCCCCCATTTTTTTTTTTTGGTGGTACTGGGGTTTACAGTCTCTTTACCACTTGAGTCATACCAGCAGCCCTTCTTTGCTTTAGTTATTTCTTAGACAGGGTCTTGTATTTTTGCTTGGGGTGGCCATAAACTTCAGTACTCTTAACTATGTCTCCTGTATAGCTGGAATTTTAGTTGTGCCTCACCACATTCAGTTTTTTTAGTTGAGATAGGGGCTCCTTAACTTTTTGCCTTGGCTATCAAATATTGATCTTCCTAATCGTTGCCACCCAAGTAACTGGGATTTACAGGTGTGGGCCACCATGCCCAGCCCTCTGGTTTTTTAGATAGGGTTTCACTTTCACTATGTAACCCAGGCTGACCTGGAACTGAGATATTCCTGCCTCAGACTCTGGAGTGCTGGGATTATAGATGTGTACCACAATACCCAGCCACCAAAACAACTTTTAAACAGTGAGTCTGTGAATTAGCTGTGTGATATGTACTCAGAATCCTTGTTGGAGCATTCCCATTATAAAATAGTTATAAATAAACATGTGTTGTTTTCTTTTTTATAACATTCATTGAGATATAATTCACATTACCATACAATTCATGCACTTAGGATGTGTAAAATAGTGGTTTTGGTATATTCATATTTTGTGCAACCATTACCACAGTCGGTTTTAGGTCTTTCTCATCAACCTAATAAGAAATCTTGAATCCATTACCAGTTACTTTCCATTTCTCTCCACCTCCCATCGCCCTATGCGATACTAATCTTTCTATGGATTCGACTATTATGGGCGTTTCACAGAAAAATTTTTTTTTTTTTTTAATGATACTGGGGATCTAACCTAGGTCCTTGAGCATGCTAAGAAAGTGCTCTACCACCACAAAGTATTTCACTTTTTTTTTGGTGGCACTGGAGTTTGAACTCAGGGCTCCAAGCTTGCTAGGCAGGCACTCTTATTGCTTGAGCCACTCTGCCAGCCTTTCACTTTTAACATATATTTCATTTTGTTTTCTGCAGTATCTTGCTCGTTTTAAAAAGGTGATTTGAGGGCTGGCGGTATGGCTCAAGTGGTAGAGCCCCTGTCTACAAGGGTGAGGCCTTTAGTTCAAACCCCCAGTGATGCAAAAAAAGGAAAAAAAAAGGTGATTTGGAAATACTTTTATTAGAGGGATCTAAAATGCTTGATGTTAGCCAGGTGTGGTGGCTTATGCCTGTAGTCCTACCACTCCAGAGACTGAGGCAGGAGGATCCAGAATTCCATGCCAGTGTGGGCTATGTAGCAAGACCCTGTGTCAAAGCAAAGCAAAACAAAACAAAAAAAGGTTGCTATTTAAAATACAAGGTATAGGAATGAATTAATGAATTTTTTTTTTGATGGTTCTGGAGTTTAAACTCAGGTCCTCATGCTTGCTGGGCAGGTGCTCTGCCACTTGAACCACTCTGCCAACCCTTTTTTGTGTTGGGTATTGTAGAGATAGGGTCTTGCAAACTATTTGCCCTGGTTGACTTCGAACCTCAATCCTCCTGATCTCTGTCCCCTGAATAGCAAGGATTATAGATGTGAGCCACCAGTGCCTGGCTAATGAATTTCTGAGTTACTCAGTGCCAAAATTCTGTATTAAAGTTTTACATGATTTTCTCCATATTAAAGATAAAAGTATAAAGTAAAAAGCTAACACTTGTAACTTGTAGACTTTTTAATTTATTAATTTATAATTTTTGGGTGGTACTGGAGTTTGAACCCAGTCCCTCACGCTTGCTAAGCAGGTGCTCTACTACTTGAGCCCCTCTGCCAGACCTGTTTTGTGTTGAGGGTATTTTTGAGATAGGGTCTTGTGAAATATTGCCTGGGCTGGTTTTGAACGGTGATCATCTTGATCTTGCCTCCTGAGTAGCTAGGATTACTGGTGTGGGCCACAGGTGCCTGGTGTGCCAGCTCCTAAAAAGGATAAACAAACAAAAAAAAAAAACCCAAAAGTCTTTTTGAGATGGGGTTTCAGCAATATACACAATGATCCTCTTGCCTCACCTGCCTGAGTGCTGGGATTACCAGCATGTGCTGCAATGCCTGGCACATTTAGACTGTAGATAAAACATAAGTTGAATTTTAATTTTTTTATTACAATGTCATTCAATTTTACTTTTTAATTAAATGACTGTATGTATGGTAAATAGCATACAAAATATTTTAATTATTTCTAAAGCAAGTAGTGGACTTGGCTAGCTTGAGAGATAGTTTAGTAGGATTTTATAAAAGTTGTTTTTCCATAATTCTTTGAATTTTAACATTTTTAAACATTTGGTTCCCAACAGCTTGCTATGGCATTGTTCAAGTACCCACTGGACCATGGTTTTGCAGGAAATGTGAATCTCAGGAGAGAGCAGCCAGAGTGGTAAGGACTGTTTACCAAATATTTTAAAATACTTCTGTGAGTAGCTTAGGATGGTACACTTATGTTGTAGTTCGAAGAGTTGTCAGTTTTATAATTTAAGAGAGAGTCTTTGGGCTAAATATTGATTTGTATTTTTAAATAGATTTTATAAAATGTAAAAAACAGATTGAGTTAAATAAGTATATATTGATGGATACTTTGAAAACAAAAATATAAAGTCGTATTCAGGCTTTATTAACTGTAGCTACAGAATTACAAGTGAGAAATGGTTTGAAAGTTATATTGGCTAATGGCAAAAATGACATAAGGAAGTAATACAACTTAGATATCTGTGCAAGGTTTTGTATAATGGAAACGCCTCAAGGATTTTAACCACTATCACATTCTTTTTACTATACATGTCTTTGTATAGTTTAACTTTGAACACTCCTTATGTCAGGCGTTCAGTGCTTTTGAGAAAGTAACAGAGTAAACCTTCTTTCTTTTATTGGCTGCCTACCTTCTTTCTGAACCTTTTTGTAAACTTCCAGAGAGGTTTATTTATTCTTGGTGCCAGAATTTTTGCAGTTGAGCTTCTGGAAATAGCAGTAGAAATAGATATAATCTTCTTTTCTCATACAGAAGTGTTGGCATTTACAATGTGACACTTTCTCTTTCTCTCTTTTTTTTTTTTTTTTTGTGGTATTGGGGTTTGAACTCAGGGCCTCACACTTGCTAGGCAGGTGCTCTACCACTTGAGCCACTCCACCAGTCCTTACTCAGGGCCTACACCTTGAGCCACTCCACCAGCTCTTTTTTGTGATGAGTTTTTTTCAAGATAGGGTCACATAAACTATTTGCCAGGGCTGGCTTCAAACTGCAGTCCTCGTGATCTTTGCATCCTGAGTAACTAGGATTACACGCGTGAGCCACCAGCGCCCGGCTGATACTTACTTCCTTTCAGTGTTGACTGGAGAATTTTTCTTTCTTTTTGGTGGTACTGGGATTTGAATTCAGAGCCTCATAGTTGCTAGGCAGTACTCTATACCTTGAGCCACTCTATCAGTCCTTTTTTTTGGTGTTAGGTTTTATTGAGATAGGGTCTTGTGAACTATTTGCCTGGTCTGACTTCAAACCTCTATCTTCCTGATTTCTGCCTCCTGAGTAGGTAGGATTACAGGCATGAGCCATTGGCACCTGGCTGACTAGAGAATTTGATAGGAGTTAGAAAATAAAAATTTCAGCTTCTCTTTCTAGGCATATAGCAAAAGGAGAACCTTTTATTTTTGCTTAGGCAATTTTGAATCAGTGGAAATTATGGTCCTGTACTCTGAAATTTTTTTGCCAGGGCTAGCCTTGACTGCAACTCTCCCAATCTCTGCCTTCCTAGAAGGTAGGATTACAAGTGGTGGTTCATGTCCTTATATGAAGAGAGGAGATATAAACACAAAGAGAAAATGTTATGCTACAGCGGAAGCAAAGATTGGAATGCATCATCTTAGATGTTTAATTCATTGAATCCTATAACTGACTTCAGCCACAAGCGCTACACAGTGTATATCACATAGAGAACCCAAGCAATAAACACCCAGCTGATCCCAGTCATCCCATAGAACCATGAAAGATAATACTAAATTGCATTTCAGCCACTAGAATTGGGGCTGCACAAATCCCAGCAGTAAACAAGAATCGGTGTTTGACTACGTATGTGTGTCTCCACACTTGGCAGTGGATATAGGATTGTGAGTTTCAGAGCAGTGTTGTGGTATTTCTGTTGGTTCATTTTGATTCTGTGTTAGAATCCATTATACAACTGTCATTGTAGTGTTAAAATAATAGGACTTAACAAATAGAAAATGAAATCAATCATAAAAATTTTAAGACTTAAAGTATGTATAGGCCTACTCTTTGACTTTTTCTCCTTTTGTAGTATGCTATGGTTTGGGGTGAACAGGTCACCAACCAAAGGAATTTATGCTTTAAGTTATCAGTAGGCATTGATAGAGAGGTGAGGCAGTGAATGTCAAAGTACATCAAAGACCAGAAAAGATAAGAAAATGGGAAGATGGGTATGTAGAGAGGACAAAGTGATGATTGTGGTGTGGTAGACTGTCTCAGTGCCAATTATTGACTCTTTTTATTCCTTTATTCTATGGATGCAGTCAAGGTGAATATGGTAGTTGTACTGGAGGGCATGTTTTATTTCTACTTCATTTGGTGGGATGTGGGGCTGTTCAGGATCTTAAAGAGGAGGCAGTCTTTCAAATTTCCATGGTGTATAAGTATAAAAGGTAGGGTCTTAGCTGGGCTCTGATGGCTCATGCCTGTAATCCTAGCTACTTGGGAGGCTGAGATGGGGAGGATCACAGTTCAAGGCCAGCCAGGACAAATAGTTCTTGAGTTCCCATCTCTAAACTAAAGAGAAAAAATGGACTGGAGGTGTGGCTCAAGCAGTAAAGCACCTACTTTGTAAGGATGAAGCCCTGAGTTCAAACCCCAATCCCACCAAAAAAACCCTCCTCATTTTAAGCTTTTGTTAGTAAAAAAAAGGGCATTTTATTGTAAGATTACAGAATAAAGAACCCTAATATGGAAATGTATTCATGACCTTGAAAGGGAATTGAATTAGTCTTCTTGTTTTTGCTTTGATCTGTGTGTCTACTTCATTCTTTTTCTTTCTGAAGATTTTTCTTTGCTGCCTACTCCAGAGATCACTTTTTGAGTGTTTATTATGTTTTAGATACTGTGCTAAATGTTTTATACCACCGCATTTAATCATCCCATCAAGTTTGTGAGGTAGTTCTCATTTTATGGATAAGGACAACGTAGTTTTAAGAGAGATACATATGTAGACGTGGAGTCTGGGCAGCTTATTAAGCTCCCAACCACCATGTTACACTGCCTCCTGTGGAGAAAGGTGACTGTACCTCAGCTCATGAAATTTTCTATCTCCTGTCTTAAAAGCATAAAATCTCAGTCTGAATCTCTTATTCCTTTGGGAAAAAACTGGTCAGGCTTGGATAAGGTGCCTAGCTCTGGACTAGTTAGCCATGATCACACAGTAGGATCAAGTTTCTCAGATACAGTTAGGGAGATTCCTGTGGTTAGGGGTATTCACTTCTTAGGAAAGGGGAATTGTGAACTGGCAGTGTGTACCTTGACAGATAATTAATAGTATTGTCTTAGAAAGATAAAATAGCTTTTTCAGAAAAATTTATTGGTGGTGTATAGAATGGATTTGCAAGTTGAGGTGTGGGGGGTTTGGGGGAACGGTTCAGGAGATAAGAGCACCTGCCTAGCAATCATGAGTTCCCTAATGTTGCCAAAAAAAAAAAAAAAAAAAAAAAAGGGAGTTAGAAACTGAAAGATTTATGATGCTATGACTTTAAATATGTAGGAGAAGGAGAGGAAGTAAGAAGGGAGCATCTCAAAAGATTAAATGATGTAAATGAATGTTAGCTAATGGAAAGGGAATAATTACAGGTGATTTGGAAATATGAAGGATGATCACTCTGGAAAGGTGATGATACTAATAACAGAGTTGGCTGTAGTTCACTTGGTAGAAGGTATGCTTCACATGCTTGAGACTCTGGGTTCAGTCCCTAGGACCAAAAATAACAAAAATAACCCAGAGTAATACTAATAAGGAAGAAGAGAAAGTAGAAAGGAACAATTAATACCGATTCTCGTTGCATTGTGGTGATGTATGCCTGTATCAGGAGGCAGAGGCAGGAGGATCTTGAGTTGGAGGCCAGCCAAGGCTACATAGCAAGACACTGTTCTCTCCACCCCCCTCCAAAAAATAAATAAAGTCTGTTTTAGGCATGTTGATTTTGACACTGGTAGAATTTTTTTTTTTTTTTGTGGCCTTGGGAATCGGGGCCTTATGCTTGCTAGGTAAGCACTCTCCTATTGAGCTACATCCCCAGGTCCCACTAGGATTTTTTTGTTTTGTTTTTGTTTTTCCAGGTACTGGGGTTAAAATTCAGGGCCCTGTGCTTGGTAGGCAGGCACTGTACCTTGAGCCATGCCCCCAGCCCTTTTTGATTTAGTTATTTTTCCAATAGGATCTTTTGTTTATGCCAGGGCCAGCCTATACCACTACCCTCCTACTTAGGCTGTCTCCGTGGCTGGGATGACAGGTGTGTGCCCAGCTTTTATAGATGGAGATTGAGTCTCACTAACTTTTTGCCTGGGCTGGACTCGAACTTTGATCTCCCTCCCCAGTAGCTAGGTTTACAGTCATAAGCCGGCATACCTGGCTGTTGTTAGGATTCTTTTTTTTTTTTTAAATTGGAAATTTAGGATAAGGTTAATGGAGTGAAGTTAGAATTGGAGCTGCATAGAAGGAAGACTGGGAACTAAATGACATTTTTTGATAAAGAAAAGTGAAGACAGAACTATGGTAAAAACCGACATCTGGGAGAGTAAGAGAAAAGGTACCAAAGGTGGGGAATGAACTGTCAAGAAAGGAGAACCTGAAGTGTATAGCAGGAACAGACACCTTGGATTTCAGGGAAGAGTAGATGCTAATAAATGCTGCCAAGGAACTGAAGGACAGTGAAACAATTGTAGTTTCCTAGTTTGTGTGGAACTCCTGTTGGTAATAGGGCATTGAAGGAGATTGAGATTGTAGGGTTACATTGTATGTTGGGAGTATAAGGAAAGAGGAAAATGAAAGTAGTTATATGGGAGTTAGAGAAAATTTGGTTGGTTTTAAAGGTAAGCTGTTTTAGATAGGCATTCATTGTTCAGAAAAAGTACTTGAATTGCTTTATTCACCTCAAATAGTTTTGTTACAATTTTTTTTTTTTTTTTTGAGTGGGACTGGGGTTTGAACTCAAGGTTTTGACTTACAAAGCAGTTGCTCTATGTTTGAGCCGTTCCTGCAGTCCGTTTTATTTATTTAATTTTTTTGGGCAGTTCTGGGGTTTGAACTTAGGGCCTCAAGCTTGCTACCCAGGTGCGCTACCATTTGAGCTACTCTACCAGCTCTGCTCTGATTATTTTTGGAGGTGGAG